TAAATTGCCCTTTGCAGACCATCCTCTCACTCTCCGATTCTCGATCCACATGCTCGTATTCGTGACTACGCTCTGAATCATTACGTAGAGGTAAATTTAGCTTAGAACTAATGAAAATCAATATATCGATTTGTTCAAGGATGAACCCGCTGGTGGTCGCGAAGAATACATTCGTACTATTCGCAAAGATACAAATACTCGCACTGCTCCAAGCGATTTCGCAACATCGATTCGAGATCAAGGTAAGAGTTTTCAAAAATAAATAGGCAAAAATGGTATTTCTAAGTTGAAGAACTTCGAGAAAATTCTGCAACATTTGCAAGATTAACTCATATAGTTCCTACAAAAATCCCGCTCTCCACAAACCTCAAAGCTTCTCACCGCGTTCTTAACATTCGCATCCAAATCCACTTCACTAAAGTGTCTCGAAAGATGTTTTTCCTTCATTCCCGGAAGAACGTGGGGAAGTGTATTTTTTACTACACAAATGTTACACTTTTGCAAAGATGAGGAAAGCGTGTTCAGCAATCAATATGCATCTTTTGCATACGCATAAGGAGAGAGCTTGAATATAGCCAATTTGCAAGTCACGGGTAGCCAAAACATTTACCATCTAAAGCTGATATATACTGTATGGTCCATATCAATTATCAATATGCATTTTTTCTGTTTCAAGTAGTTTTTCCACCCCCTCAGCATCCACAAAAATGGAACATCATAGATTGAAAGTCTTCTCGTTTAGAAATAAAAACTACTCAACCTAGAATTTTCTATTCAGGTCTTACCGCAAGTCAACGCGAAGCTAACCAGTATCAATCCAGTACATTACGGACGCGTGATTTGCCATTCGATGCCACTCGCTTGGCAAATCGACTGTACCAGGTACAATAATGCTGATACTCAGGCAAATTCGATACCTTGCAGAATATGAAACTTATTTTGATTTGGAAATAGAAAAAAATTGAAGGTAGAAGACAGTGCAAACGCAAAACTTTCTTTCAAAGACTGCGTTAAAAAAGATGACCTGGAAGTAGTGAAGGTGGCTTAGTGACGCCCTCGGGATTGTAGGATGATTTAAGGTTCTCAATCCTACTGTTATGGAATAGAGGCGTGGAATGCTGCTTCCCGAAGAATTAGGCCACAAAGTTAATTTGTGTTTTACTGAATGTACGGAGTGTTTTTTCTTTGCAAAGTCCAAAACAAAACAACCTATGTTGCTGTACTATTTCTACACGAGCATAAAAAGTGTCATAAACAAGGATTTTAGAAGTTGATATCCACAACTTTATATTAAACTTGTAGTTTCCAGTAACCCAAAATAAGCATCAGCAAAGATATTTTTAAAATCGCGTTCGCTCTTTTTATGGGCGCTGCTAGCGGCTGATTTTGTTTTAAGACATATGAGATGTCCATTTCTGGAAAACAAAGGGTTTGCTTTCAGCCAGATGACTAATAAATTCAAGGTCAGGTGAAAAATAATCAAAACTACACACAAAACCCAATGGTTTTGCGAATTT